GCACTCTGTATCACTTCCGAAGCTAATCCCCACATCAGGTGTACCCTTAAGGTACCGGAATATCCACTTCACAGCCTGCCAATGCTCATTCCCAGGTTGTAGCCCAGCTCAAACATGTAACTATCAAATCTCTTGTACCACTGCCTCGGAGATTGCTTAAGTCCATACAAGTACTTCTTCAGCTTACAAACATAGTCTTCTTTTCCTGCAACCTGGAATCCTTCTGGCTGAGTCATATAAATTTCTTCCTCCAACTCTCCATGTAGGAAAGCTGTCTTCACGTCTAGGTGCTCGAGCTCCAAGTCATAATGAGCCACGATTGCTAGTAGCACTCTGATCGAAGTATGTCTGACCACTAGTGAGAAAATCTCATTGTAGTAAACTCCTTCCCTCTACGAGAAGCCTCGTGCAACCACCCAAGCTTTAAATTTAATGCCCTCTTCTGAACTGATTCATTCCTTCTTCTTGTAGATCCACTTGTTGTTACAATCTTCCTTCTCTGTGGTCGTTTGACTAGCTCCCAAGTCTGATTCATGTCACGGGATTCCATTTCATCTCCCATTGCGGCAAGCCACTGATCAGTTTCACCACCCGAAACTGCTTCTCTATAGGATTGTGGCTCTCATGCATCTACTTCTTCAGCAACCTGAAATCAATACGCCACCATTTCCTTGAAGCCAAACCTATGTGGAGGTACTCCTGCAGTCGATCTCTTCGGTCTACCGGAAGCCATAGATTGTTGAGCTCATGCACTGGACTCTGAAGTTTCTGGCTCTGTAGAGACATCTTCATCATGTTGATCTTCTCCACCTTGGTGCTCAAACTCACTATCATTGAGAGTTTGCAGCTCCACCTGCTTATCAACATTCCTGCTACCTTCAACAAAAATGACCTTCAAAATGGGGTTAAACATCGACTTCTCATCAAATATCACATTTCTACTGAGTATTACTCGATGCTCAGAGGGTGACCAGACTCGAAATCCCTTAACTCCATCGCCAAAACCCATAAATACACCCTTCTTTGCCCTTGGGTTCAGTTTACCCTCATCCACATGATAATAAACAGGACACCCAAAAACTTTTAGTGAAGAGTAATCAGCAGGCTTACCATACCACACTTCATAAGGAGTCTTAAACTCGATACCTGTGTGAGGTCCACGGTTGATCAGGAAGCACGCCATGTTTACTGCTTCTGCCTAGAATCTTCTCTCTAGTCCAGCATTAGAGAGCATGCATCGTGCTCTCTCCAACAATGTGTGGTTCATCCTTTCTGCAACGCCATTCTGCTGTGGTGTATCTCTAACGGTTCGATGACGAGCAATCCCTTCATCCTTGCAGAATTTGTTGAACTTAGAATTGCAGAACTCTAGACCATTGTCCGTTCGCAGCTTCTTGATCTTCTTCCCGGTTTGATTCTCCACCAATGTATTCCACTGCTTGAACTCCGTGAAAGCCTCACTTTTTTGCTTCATCATTAAATCCAATTAAATCTCGAATAATCATCAATAATAGACAGAAAATATGTGGTACCTCCAATGGATTCAACTCGTGAAGGACCCCAACAGCCGGAGTGGAGGTAATCCAGTATCCCCTTCGTCCGGTGGATACCCTTCTTGGGAAACTTGTTGTGATGTAGCTTCCCAAACACACAATGCTCACGGAATTCCAAATTCCGAACCTTGTGCCCGCAAAGAAGATCCCTCTTCGACAGAACTTGCATCCCTCGTTCACTCATATGCCCCAGTCTCATGTGCCAGAGAGTGGTCATATCTTCCTGATGAACTTGAGACGATGCAACTGCAGCAGAACCAGACAACACAGACCCTTGTAATGCATAAAAGGTCCCACGCTTCACGCCCTTCATTACCTTCCTTGAACCTTTGCAGACATACACAACTCTACCTTTTCCTTTGAAGCTGAAACCCTTGCTGTCGAGTAGACTCAAGGAGATCAGGTTCTTTGTCATTCGTGGAACATGTCTAACATCATTCACGGTACAGAAAGAACCATCATGTGCCTGAACCTTTATGGACCTGATTCCAACAACCTTGCAAACAGTTCCATTTGCCATGACCACGTTACCACCATCTATCTGCTCGTAGGTTGTGAAGCAATCCCTGTTCGGAGACATATGGTATGAGGCTGCAATATCCAGAAACCACACATCCTACGATGTGCCTTCTCATCTACAGCAAAGGCGAGATTGTCTTCAGAACTGTTGTCCACTTCTCTTCTCCTGGGACAGCTGTACTTCCAATGCCCCACTTCCTTACAATTGTGACAAGCATCACCTGGCTGTGGACCGGGACCCTTGGAATTAATGTTCGAATTCCCTTTCAGATTTCTTCTTTCCCTTTCCACCTGTAACAGCTAAACCCGATGCCTCACCACCTATACCAGATCCAGACGCCTTATGCATGATCTCTCTCGTATGAAGAGCAGACCTGACATCCTCGAACGACACACTTTCTTTACCGGCAATAAAAGAATCAAAGAAATTCTCATATGAACTCGGCAAAGAAACCAGCAGGATTAGGGCAGCATCCTCGTCATCAACTTGAACATCTATATTACGCAGATCCAGCAAAATAGAGTTAAGCTTTTCGAGATGTTCCCTCAAAGGCGTACCTTCTTGCATCCTCAAGCTGAAAAACCGTTGCTTGAGATGCAGCTTGTTGGTTAGAGACTTAGGGGTCCATGGGGCCCACGGATTTGGATCTTTTTCGTAGCTCCAAATCCGTGGACCCCACGTATTTGCAAATATCACATTTCATTTGGTATTTGGTCATGGAAGGCAAAGATTTGAGACCCATGGTACAAAAATCTTTAAATTTATGATCAAAATCAACTAAACAAACAATGTTATCTTTCAAATACAAAATAAAACAAATCCATCGTAAATCCAAAGGTTTTGAAAACCTTTATTTTCAAATCCAACAAGCAAACGAGCTCTTAGTCCTGTACAGACTCTCCAGTTTCAACCACAAGCCCGCGGCAGTCTTCTCAGCAGCGACTTCAATGATGACGTCATTAGACAACGATAGCATGATGGTCGAGTGTTTTTTCTCCTCCAGAATATTCCACTCATCGTCATCGACCGCTACCGTTTTGTGTTTCGCAGACAGCGTCCCCCACAACCCTTGTTGTTTCAATAAAGCCTGCATCTTGATCTGCCATATAGCGAAGCGGTTCTTCCCCGTGAAATTTTTGATCTTCATGTTCACCGATGTCATTCTTCTGAATTGAAAACCCTAGCCTAATTTCCAGCCGCGGCTCTGATACCACTTGTTATAAACGCGCCGCTACGGATCGGGAAATCGCTGAAATCGACAAAGCAAGAATACGAAACCAAGAATCGAAAACACGACACACGATTTACGTGGTTCACTAACACGATGTGTATTAGCTAGTCCACGGGCGAGAGAAAGCCAGTTTCACTATATCGAGGAGATTACATATTATAGATTACAGAGGAGATAAGAAGTATTTATACTTTTCCATGCGAGACCCCCGACTACCAGTCGTAGCGGCTGATAGTCCGATTCAAGTCACATCAACAATGTCTCTATCTCATTCAAAAGTTTCATAAGATGAGTCTGATATCCAAAAATGCTTCTAGTTCCTTGCTTGAGGGTTAAAGTTCCTCTTGGATCTATGAAACCCTGACAAGATCCCTATGCACATTTTTTTTAATTTGTTCTAGGCTTCTACGACAGGACTAAAATTCAACAGGCTCTTCCAAATGTTGTCACTCACAGCAAAGGTAATCCATCCAATAATTATGATGTTGCAACTATCCATGGTTTATATAATTGGGCATAAACATGGAACCATCTATAAAAGAAGTTTGTTCTTGGAAGTTAGCCAGTTCAGCATGCACTTACTCCATTGATTTTAGTTGTTTTTGTTCAATCTCTCAAGTAAAATTCGTTAAGCAGGGCTTTCTTTTTCATGTGAGTGGTAGGGATCAACAAACAAGTATTATTTAAGAGATGGTGGTGGTGGAGTAGAAAAATAATCAAGAGGTGTCTTAGTTCCTATAGATCCAGGTGAAGTACTCCGAGGTCTTAGATGAAGGGTTATTCAAAGTTTAACATGTGAGTAACTAAAGAAGCAACAACATGAGATTGCATATGAGAGGAAGATTGAGATGAAGAAAGGGACGAAGCAACAAGAAGATTACCTTCTTCTATTAGAGCTAGTAAGATTTACATATAGTAATCATTGTAGTATTGTAATCCTTATTAGTATTGTAATCATTGTAGTGTTAGGAGTGTGATATGCGTTTGCATCATTAGTCATTAGTATCGAGTACATCGTTCACTATTAGATTTATGCATTTATGTTTACAGTCATGAAAGTGAACTAATTTTCATAATTTTGTACTTTATACATTCATCCAAGAAAACAATGTTTGTCTATACTTCGTATAAAGTCCTAATATCAACACAAAATTTGACCTTTTTCTCGAATTTTTATTTGTATAATAAATTTTTTCAAATAACAATGTAGCATGAAGTTTTATTTGTAGCATGAAGTTTCAGTTTCTTAACTGATTATTAGACTTAAGTTAGGAATTTAGAACAATGATTATGTATAATTATTATACTCCACATCCTTTCCGTAATTACAACATTTATTAATAACACATTTTAATTGATTTCGTAATTTTTTTGTCATGGTATTAAATCGAGATAGGGATTTATTATAATTTTTTCATTATGGTATTAAATCGGGTTTGCGCCTTGCGGGGAAGGATAATCCACTTTAAAATTCAAATTTTTTATCTCTATGTTGTGAATCGACAATAACATCTTTACACCAAGTCTTCATTTCATAATTAATTCCATGATTAATCCCTCCTAATTGTATCATTTCCCTTGTCGGCCAGGTTTACCTATGGACAAACTTTCATGTGAAAAAATTCTATCAATCTCTTTTTCGTGAGATAGGTAAAATGTTCTAATCAATTAAATTTGAAAAGAAGAAGATAAGGAACTCAATCAATACTCTTCATTTTGTACATACAAGATCAATCATTTGGATTGACCACTATGCAGAAATCTCATACTATACCAAAACTTTTAGCTAAAATTGAGGACGGAATATAAAAGAACAAAAAAAAAAGTTTTGACAAATCTTTTTTTGTCATGTAATGTTACCTTCCATGCCATTGTATGCAATTTCATTGTTTCCCCCCCTTGTTATTGAGAACATTTGAACCAAATTTTTCATCAATGTCTGCATAATTGAAGTCAACAAAGAAACTCCCTTCACATTTATGGAAAAATCCCTTTTCTGATCGATCATTTCTTTTCTCCTACCTACGAGAACTTGCCCTGGCACTTTTGAGAGGTAACACCTCGACTCACCCCTAACGACCTTACCTTCAACTTACAGTTGATGTTAACCTCTTTGCTTTGTGACTTCACCCCGGAGGCACTCATCACCACTGGAATTCTCATTACCAACGACAATGAAATGGGAGCCTTCCCCTTCTTGTCTACCATGCTTTCCTTCACCGCCGTCGGCATCTTTCCCTTCCCAATGCCCTTCAGCTGCAAGCTAATCGCCTTTGTCTGGCCCGACCCGACTCTTAGCCTAGGGAACCTGCCCGATCCAATCTCAATGTTCTTGTACATCAAGGTGGTTTCTCCATTTCCATCCGGCGAAATGCTCATCTTGCCGTCATCTTTAACGGTGAGTGCCACGTTGAACCCGGTTGATTCCTTTGCATTGAGTCGTTGGATGTTGAAGATGGGGAGCTTAGGCTTGATGAGGGCATGGGTGATGGCGATGCTCACCCCGACGATGATGCCGATGAGGATCACGATGGCGAAGGTATAAGACATGCAACGGGATGAGCAACATGCGGAGTTTTGGCTGGAGGACTTCTTCTCGTTGCGGTGGCGCTCGACGATCTTGGCGTGCTCCGGTGGTGGGACCGCGAAGATTTGATCCTTGGGGATTTGGATGATGTAGGTGGTTTCAGGTTGGATGGTGAAGGAGAAGGAGGGAGCTTTGGAGATCTTGCGGGAATGGTAAGATGGAGGGGAAGAGACGACATGGTGATTGTTGTTTGGATGTGAATGAGGAAGAGGAGGAGGGAGGAGGTCAGGGTTGGCCGGAGGATTGTCGGGGGAAGGGTCAGAGCCGGCGGTCGCGGCTGGGACCCGCTCCTCCATGTAGAGATGGGGAGGAGGTGGTGGTGAGTATGGTGGGAAAGAGAGATGAATGAAGAGATGTTAGGGGGTGAGGAAGTTGGAGGGCAAAAAAAGGAAAAGGAATGAAATTAGGGTTTGCATGAGAATATGTGGTTTGCATGGGATTTCTTTGGAAAGGAAGAGGAAGAGGGAAAATTGTAGCCTTTCATGGAGTTGGGTGTTTTTAGTTTTTATTGTTCTCTTTCTTCTTTTGTTTTCGTGTTTCATTTTTGTTCTTGCTATTTTGAAAATAAATTTTATTTATTTTGGAAAATCATTTGTTTTTCTTGGATTGCTACTGAGTCAACTATATATATATAGGAAAGTTAAGAGTATTTTGTGCTTATATTTATTTCCATTTCAAAGTACTTATTAGATACATAAGTTGCATAATAATATTCTAAAATAGATCTATTAAATTTTAATTTTTAGATTCAACCGATTGATTAGTCATCAACTAAACTAATTTCTAGTTTGCAAAATTTTTGTGCAGTATAAAGATTTTTTACTCCTTGTACTAGGTTGTCACTCTTTATTTTTTTTTTCAAGGGAGCTCTTTCTAACGATTGTACTAAATTTTAGGAAGAGGAAGGTTGGTTGTATCCTGAGTAATAGAAAGCTTTTATAGATGCTCATTGTTATTAACAAACAATACATGTGTCCTTACATTATTTGTCATCAAATTAATAAACACTAAAGTTAACAACTAATACAACTAATGTAAATGGCGTATTTTTGTCTAATAAAGTAACCCTCATTTATTTGAGAAATGTCGTCCTTCTCTTCTTCTTCTTCTTCTTCTTCTTCTTCTTCTTCTAACCCTTACAGCTTTAGGATTCCCATCAGCGTATTTGTTTTCATTCTATCTCCGCCCTCAAATTGGCAGTTTACTTGTGATCAACAAAATATATCTTGATTAGAATTGATCGAGTTCGTTGGTGAAGATATGTGCCAACTGTTCAATGTATTAACATATTTGAACATGAACAACCCAATTTTGATCTTCTTCCTTGTCACATGCATATTAATCTTGATATACTTGGTTCTTTCATGAAATAAAGGTTTTCTAATATATCAATAACATGCTTGTTATCAATATACACAAATATAGGCAATGCGACTCAAAATTTTAATTCTTACATAAGTCTCTTTGACCATTCAAACTCACATTCCAAGTGTGTCAGGGATCTTTATTATGCTTCAGATGATGTTGTTGAAATAGTGGTTTGTTTCTTCATTTTCCAAGTTAGTAGTGAGCATCCAAAGAAGGTTCAATATCCTGAAATGGATCTACATGAGTTAGGGAAACTTGCCCAATGAGAGTCACTTTAGCCAGTCATCTTAAGTTCTGTCGTGCCCTAAAATGGATCCTCTGATCAGATGATGTCTTCAAATATCTCTATACCCTATATGCAGCTTGTAAATGCTTAACACATGGGTTATTCTGGTAATGACAGATTTGTTGCACTGCAACTGTAATGTTAGGCCTTGTTGTGTCAGATAGTGGAGCCTTCCCACTAATATTCTATAACATTCCCCATCTTCCCGCTAAGTTCCATTATAACTTAACTTTACCTTCACATCTATTGGTGTTCAACCTTTGAATTCAAGATAACATATGTCCTTTAACAATTATACACAGTATTTTCTCTGACATACACACAATCCATCTTGATTGATGCTCACTTTTAATCCAATGAAATATTTGAGTGGTCATAGGATTTTGATCTTGAATTATTTGTTTAATGATGTCTTCACTTAATCTATATCTTTTTTAGCATCACCTCTTGAAATGAGTCTTCAACATAGACCAATAAAATTGTGATCCTTCAATGTGTCCACTTAGTGAGAAAGTGAATAGTCTGAAGCTGACTTTACGAGAAAAATCTTCAATAGAAAATTCGCTGACTTAGCAAACCACTATCATGAAACTTGTTTCAAAACATACAAGGAGTTCTTCAATCTAAAATTCATCTTCTATTTTCCCATGGAGGGTACTGATACTCCAGAGGTATCTTCATGTAGATAATTTCATCGAGATATCCATGTAAAAAGTCATTAGAGACATCTAATTGCTCAAGAGTCTAGTATTTAATCCTTGCAACTGCTGATAAAGCTTCCATAGTGTCTATCTTTACTAGTGCAAGAATATGTGTCCAGAAAATCTATTCCGTAGACTTGGGTAGAACCATTTTCCACTAGTCTGGCCTGAAACCTTTCTACAGAACCATTAGATTTGTACTTCACTTTAAACACCCGTTTGTTCCCAACTTCCTTAGTATCTGGTGGTAATGGAACCATACCCCAAGTCTGGTTTCTATTCTGATGAATACAATTATGAGTTCAGATCCCTAGCCCATTCAACTGACTTCATAGCTTCATAATACGAGTTAGGCTCGATTTGATTTACCACACTTAAGGAGAAAAGGTATCTCTATGGAACTCAATCCACTCATATTCAAGAACAAAAGATATTTAATGCACACATTAGCCTTTCCAAAAGGTCCAAATTTGAGTGATGGATCCAAATTGAGATTTACTATACTTACTTGGCAGAACGATGTGTCTTGTGGTCCTTCCTTCTTTTGGAGGTTTTTTATATATAACTTCATATGGTGACTTATTTCATAGAACTATACTTGGGGTTAATTTGACTATATAGACATCATGTAGGGTACATTCACTTCAATATCTCAAAGATATACCAGACTAAAACATCAAATATCTTCCCACATTCAAATTGTGTTGATGTTTTCCCTCAACTCTCTCGTTATGTTCAGGTGTTTCTACACATGAGTCCCGATGTTTTATAACTTTTTTTGAAAATAATTCACGCATTTCAAACTCTTTGCCCTGGTCACTTATTATGGTTTTAACAATTGTCAAACTATTTCTTTACTATTCACTTATTATAGATGTTTGCTTCCTTTAGATAAGTGGATACCATCACAATGTATTGGTTTAGAAATGGTTACATTAGGAATAATGTTACAATGCAAAGAAATATTATCATGAAGTCCTAACCTTCAATGTCATAGTTTAGGTCTTTCAGATGGACATTGAAGGAAATGGCTACTTGGGGATGGTGTACTAGTTGTGCAGGCTTGAATGGTCCTGAACATACAGTGAGTTGGTATAGGCCTCTAATTTCTCTTGTTAAACCCTCTTGTTTTTTAGAATGTCCTAGATTTCACATTGGTCATGAAAACGTAAGGATAGAGGGCAGTCATGTGTGAGTTTACTAACATAAATTGGGTTAAAAGAGAAGCTAGGTACTAATAGCACATCATATAGAGACAATCAATTAGGTAATGTAATAATTCCTATACATGTTACTATTACTTTGATATTGTTTGAAAGGAAAACACAAGTAGAGTTTGGTTCATACCTTCACCAGTTGCATCACCTTATGAATGATTCTCACCTAAACTCTTTTGCGCCACAACACTAGCAAATCTTGGAGTATTGGAATTGGAACTAGGTCCATAGTTAGATCCTACATTGGAGTTCTGATATTTCTGCTGCTCAGCTTGTTTTTCCTTTTAGCCACTAGCATTCATCAATATTGTAGTTATTCGTCTTGCAGTATTTGCAATACTTCTTCCCTTGTCTAGTTTATGTGCAAACCTTGGATGTGTTTCCTCCAGCTGCTAAAGGTAGAGTCTGAGTTTTCTTCCCACCTGTAATAGCATTAGCTTTCCACTTTTGTTCATGATGCAGCAAGGCATGAAAAACTTTAGGCACACTAGGCAAAGGCTTATGCATCAATACTTTTGTCTTGATCATTTCATATTCACGGTCAACACATCTCAGAAAGAGAATCATGTAATATGCCTCGTACTTTTGGACGAAGGCCGCCATTGATGAATATGCAATGCATTTCTAGTTGCACAAACACAAGGTATAATAGGATAAAACTTCACATATTCATCGAAACATCCCTTAATGACATTATATTATTGCTTGGTAGTTCTAGAACCTTGTTTATAAGCATATATTTCATCCTATAAATTAACAATTCTCATAGCATTGGACTGTCCAAAATGTCTCTTAAGCCCATCCCATAATGTCTTCGAATCACTGAGATTCACTGTTGAAACTTCATTAGTAGTAGAGTTTTGAATCTAGCACAAAACTACAGTATTAAAAGCATCCATAAACCAAACAGATCTGCATCTCGAGCTGGAACAGGAATCGACCCATCTATGAAACCAAGTTTGTTATTAGTTTTCAATTTTGCTAGATCTACTCCACATAGTGTAGTTTGTTCCATCAAATAGTTTGACAACTATTGATTGGGCCCTATTCTCATTTGAATTTAGGTAGTAAGGGTTACACAAAGTACTTGTTTATATCTGTGATGGTATATGATAATATAAAACGAAGCCGACTACTCCACTAATACCATTATTGGTAGCGGGTTTGCCATTTCCCCCCATGTGATGAGTCTTTCCTCCAGATAGTAGAAAACCTAGAGCTCGAGCTACTCTGATACCATACCATTGTGGTGAATTGTAGAAGAGGAAGCTCAGTAGTAATTTGATTCATCGATAACTTTTATAGCTAATATTAACAAGCATTACAAATGTCCTTACATTGTTTGTCAGCAAATTAAATAACTGTAACTTTTAAAAAATAATACAACTAATGTAAATGGTGTTTTCTATCTAATGAAGGAACCCTCGTATCCTTAAAATTGTGTCCTTTTTCTTCCTTCTAATCCTTACAGCTCCATGGTTTCCAACGGCTGCTTTGCTTCCATTTTGTCACTTTCATCCAATGATGGATGATTGATATGGTTGGATTAGGACATTCCACTCCACTTCTTGGCAAGCTGACTCAGTTGTTTGCCTGATTTTTCCCTATTCTTTCTTCTGTGTTTCTTCCGGTATTTTCTGTTTATTATCTTCTCTTCCTCAACAACTCTTTTGCATGTTGTTGTGTCAACGTCTTATATATGGTTTCATTTCTTCTTAGAGGATAACTGAGCCCTTGCATTTAGTCTGTTCGCTCTGCGTACAGAACGTAGTTCCTTGGTAAAGAACGACGTTGATCTATGTTTCACACAACGCACGATTCCATGGATAGTTCCATTCGAATAGTTTTGAGAAAATACCATTATAAATAATGATCTTACACAAAATTGACATTTATATTTCATGTTTCAATAAAGACCTAAAATATTCCAAACTATGGAGGTCAATGTCATATATGTCAATCTTTTGTATGTTGATTGCGCTTGCTACTTTGAACAATCTTGTTGTGCATAAGATGGATGTTAAAACTT